TTGTTACTGGGAGTCTGGATTCCTGGAGCTGTTTTCTGCATTTCAAAGTCCAGGGTTCCGGATTCCACAAGCAAAACTTTCCTGGATTCAGGATTCTAGAAGCAAAAATTTCCTGGATTCAGGATTCCACAAGTAAAACTTTCCTGGATTCAGGATTCTGGAAGCAAAAATTTTCTCGGATTTCTTTATAATTATAATAGTGTTTTTTTTTTTCAATTTATCATAACCGGGTACCGAGGAGTAGCATAAACAAAATAATTAAACGAGTAGATATACCTAAAGAAAAACGGGAGAAAACAGATATGTACAGGAACAGTTAGTTAGAATATTGTGTGTAGTTACCGTTTATCGTTACTTTTTTTCTTTCGCTGATGCGTTTGTATCAATTGTGTCCGATTTCAGTGAGTACGAAAGAAGTTGGAATAAAATGTTAAAAATTTGCATTGCTTTGCTCCGCCCTCAGTCTCAACAGGTCCTCCCCTTTTCCCGTAAATTAAAAAAAGTTCATTTTGACAAAATTGGGAGAACTTAATTGTATCCACGAAAGAAAGAAATTATTAAAAGTAACGACAGCCATCCCAAATGATCAATGTTGTCGGTGTAAGAAGAGCGGCCGTTACATATCACGTGTGACATCACACAGCGTCGAAGGTGTGGATGGCCTGCCTGTGCTCTGAAAAGTGTGGAGCAAGGTTTTCCCGCATCGATGGTATTTAGGCACCAGATATTCTGTGAAAAATTGCGCTACTGTAATAATAGATTCTTCAAAGGGCAGTAAGATAAATGTATTGAATTAAAAGGTTTTATGTTGGTTTCGAACTGTTCATTATTTCCAAGTTCGAAACGCCAAAAGCCAATTTCGATTTGTTAAACGTGAAAGACTGGTAACGAATCTAGGGCGCCAAAGCGAGGCTCCGGGGAACACGGCGCGAAGTAATAATAATAAAAAAACATCACTGAGAAGAACGCCAGGTGTTTCGGTAATACTTACGAACCTCAGTGCTTAATGTCGTGGTCAAGTATTGAGGGCCTGGATGGGGTTAACTGACAACTGATTTTAACTGACAAGTGACATATTTGCCCAAAAGTGACTAAGATGGGGTCTATAATTGGCCACAAAATAGACATATAATGGGGTAGGGGCTCTGAGAGGCCAGAGGCACATACCCAGCAAAGCTTAACCCAAGTATCCCCTCTCCCCCCCCCCCGGGGTTTGAGCACTTCCGAAGCTACGTAAAAAACGAAATTTTCAGCGTGCTTTGATTTCGTTAGTCAAGAACACAAAAAAGGACAAAAAAATCATCATGTGTTAAAGAACAGTTCAGGTGTCTGGATTTGTGAGTCAGGCGTGAAAAATTGTCCTTAATGCGTGAGATCGATGTATTTAGTCCACAGGCATGCCCGGGAGGCATGATGCGTGTACAATATTCTGGCATAAATATTGATTGGCTTAATTGTTGGAAAAGACCTGAGAAATGGAGGGTCACTTGAAACGCTTACAACAGCAAAACTGCTTTTGCATCAGTTATCGAATTTAATGTTTAATTGACATTATTTGTGCCTTTCAAGCTAGATTTCGCATCACAAATATACAAATAAGTTTCATAGTTGATCATTAATAACTATTTAACTGACAACTGACAAAAAGCCTAAAATTTAACTGACAACTGACAAATGGTTTTAGTCATTCTATTTTCAAAAATCAACATTAATATAGCCAAAAGCGTAAATTTCGTGTCTATTGGGATTAAGTGTTTTTTGTAACATAATTTCATTGGTTTCGAAATTGTTCTAAGTTGCTAGTAAGATGTATATACCTGCAGCCTATAATCACGTTCCTTTTGTCTTTACCAGCATTAATTTTTGCCCAGCGAGATTCAACTTGTTCCGTATTAAATTTAATCTCAGGTCTACGTATACCTTTAAGATTGTCGGCTATATATAAAGCAGCTCCGCCCGCGCTTGTTCGCGAAGCAGAGTGGTAAAAGTTATAGCCTTTGATATTAATATTGGCAATCTATTTATCACCTAATTTAGTTTAACTAATGTTAAAGCAATTTTTTACACCGTTTTTAACCAAAGTTCGCACTGAAGTCCATTTCTAGAGGCTATTTCAATCTTCATCTTGGATGAGTATGTACTCATTAGCATTTTCCTGTTGTCCGCAACTACATCCACACCAGGGGTGGCAAACCAGGTAAAAACACTGCTTGAGGCAGGAAGACACTTTTCTCCAAGTAGACTTCAAGTAAAGGAATCCCTTAACTAAAAGAAAAGCAAAAAAGGTCATCATTAATCAGAATGATGAAGAGCATTGTTGAAAATACATGTAGAAGGTAGAGAAAATTCGCCCCTTGCAGATTCACCTCTTCAAAATCGTGAACTAAAATATAATTGTTATTTCCCAACTCATTTTAAAAATAACTCATGAAAAGGAAACAAAGGGAACCACTACAGCGAGGATTGGATATCGGTTCTTAATTACCGTATAAAAAAATGTGAACTTTAGCTTTGAATTTCTTCATCAATCCAAAAATTATTATTCATCTACGAAGCTATATCAAACACTCCACCCAGTGTTTCATCCGATAAATAATCTAGAAATGGGACTTAATTAAACATTAGCTTGGTTACACTTCGTTTTTCAACCCACTTCTCGTTATCTGGAAATCGGATAAATTACTGGGTGTCGTGTTTGATTTACTAGCCCGAATCATCTTGTGATGGTGATGGTCCTTATGATGATGGTGATTACAACAAGCCAGAAGCTCGAATTTTCTTAAAACATCAGAAGCTGACACCACGGCAACAATAACACAGTGGCTTCCCGTAGTTGCTTCAATTTGTTACAAAGCTTTTAACTCATGCATCAATTACATTTGCGTTTGACTTCAGGAGAACACAACATAAAGTCAATGCTCGAGAAGCCTAGACACGGAAAGAAACTCGATTTTTATTAGAATGGGTCAGGTACCGGAAACGGAAATAGATAGACTTTAGACTTCTCGTTCCCAGAACCCGTCGTTTCCTTTGAAGGAGCCCTTTGGAGAAAAATCATGTTAAGAAATGCAACGGGGGATATTAAGAACGTTCAATTCGGGTAACTTACAGTTGAATACACAACAAACATCAGCTGGACATACTGTTGGTTTGCAGAACAAAGGCAATCGAACATAGCTCACTTCAGAAAAGAGTGATAGCCTGGGACCCGAACTAGGCGCGCACGAGTTCATGGGATTATTTGGGGGCGACGTGAATGTAAACAAACATGGCGGAAAGCGGAGTGGAATGTTTAAGCGGAGTTAAAACAATTCAAAATAACAAAAAGGAAGGTGGAATTGAAAGAAAAAAAAACATGAAAATGTCAAGCTGAAGGAAGATGTGCCTGGGAGATTTTACTTCGAGAAAAACTAGAAGAATGCAAATCCGTGTGCTATCGGAGTTCAACTTCAAATTAGCGTTCCGAAACAAACGTACATATTCTCGCTGGATACGTCTTGTCTTTGGTATTCTATAGAATGCCAGACCAGGGGAGTTCCTGAAGTTACTTGTTCACAAAGGCACACAACAACTTGCATGCCTCGTCATAACACAAGGTGGCTGCTCATTTTGTCCCCACAAACAATCCCATAAATACGCGAGCGCTTAGTTTTGGTCCCAGGCTATCATTCTTTTCCGAAATGGGCTATTACGAATTGGGAACTGTGGGAAATCTCACATTGTTTATACATGTTATGCTAAAAGAACAATTTCATTACACAGAGTAATAGACTCAAGTACCAGCCGTTCTGGGCGCCCTTAAGAGCTCTTTTGAATTTCCAAAATGCTCTGGTGTATTCAGTTCGTTATATATAATACTAATACTATATTATAGTATTATATATAATATATAATACTAAGAACGTTTTTATATTTCACTCTGGTTGTATTTATTGAAGATACTGCGCTGATTCTGCGCTGACACTAAACTTTTTTTTTTTTTTTAAAAAAAGAACGTGGCTCTGCCAAACCCATTTCCCCGATAAACTCGTCCCCATAGTTCACTGAATCGTACAAACTTCTCCACTTTGGTGATATTCATCTGCAACCGCAATTGGGCTATCTAATACTCGTCCCCCCCCCCCCCCCCCCCCCCCCGGTGGGCGGGGGTGGACCCCATTTTTTTGGGGGAAAACAAAATTTTTTGGGAGTTTTTAGGGGGGGAATAAATTTTTTTTATTTTCCGGGGGGTAGAAAGAAAAGAAAAAACCCCAACAGGGGGGAGGGGAAT